ATTTATCACAAGAGCATCTACCTACATTTTAAAAAATAGGAGCATACATTGAAATACATTATTTAGTTGGCCTATAGACAATGCTTGGTATGCACATGCATTAAGATCCCAAAATTCCATGGCAAACTTAGGTATTCTCTGCCAAGAAACTGAGAACCAAAGTTTGGGCATGAAATTTTCATGTGTTAATATAACAGGATCACTTGTAAAGTTGGTTGAAATGCCATGTGCCCAAGCCCCAAGTACAAACCAAGTATGGCCTGTAATTCAGCACTTGTCCAATAGATGTCCTCACTCTCCTATGAATCAAAGGAAAGGGACTACAGCAAAACACAAAATCTAACACACAATCATGTAATTCAATACAAACAGAAAATACAATGCTTAATTGAAATTTTACTTTTTCCTCTTTGTCTTTTTTTAGGGGCAATTATTTACCTGTTCTCTACGGGATCATGTCCAAGTATAAAATGAAAAACTAATCATAAATGTCACTGGATACAAATGCAATTTTAATGTTATATTTCACCAAATCTAAGATGCCACTGATTGTAAGACACACCACTGTTTGATGTGCTGGAAAGAAATGACAGGAAATGCCTCCAAATAAATCATAACATGAAGGTTTATGATTTAAAATTGTATTTAATACTGATTGCAAGAGTTCTTTTTCTTTTTACTTAAACAGTTTAATCACATTAATCACTTATCATTATATACTGTTTTCATAACTTTCTCTATACCCAGTAACTTCATTAATGCTGATTCACAGAATATTTCTGACGACATATCAAACAATTAAAGTTGACATGAGAAATACTAACAATGCTCATACCTCAACTGAAGTGCTGATAAAATTAATAGCCATGATTATATTTGTGAATACACAGGCAAACAAATATATCAGGGCTGCTGCTTTGCTGACAGATTGTAAGATAGCATCAAGTATAAGACATCACTCAATTTCATGTTGTTAAAATGGAGAAAACTGTGAGTCCTAGAATTAATGAAATACCAATTTTTAAAAAGATGGACAAAAATCCAATAAATAATAAAATCTATGGATATCCAAGTATTGCCAATCTAAAATTCTTTTTGCCGTCCTTGATACACTAGTAATATTATGTATACCTCCAACAGTTATTTCAAGTCTGTGACCTAAATTATCAGTGGCCTCATGTACAGGCCCTGGGTTAAGCACTCGCTACTCACAGAGAGCTCACCTCTGTGAGGCACCAGGAGGAACAGAGGTTTATTAGGAGCAACCCTTCACCTAACCTAGATTAGCAGTTAAATTCCTTACCAGACTCCCTTATTCACTCTTGTCTCTCCCCGATTTCTTTTCCTTTTTTTTTTTTGAGATAGAGTCTCGCTTTGTTGCCCAGGCTAGAGTAAGGGCCGTGGCATCAGCCTAGCTCACAGCAACCTCAATTTCCTGGGCTCAAGCGATCCTGCTGCCTCAGCCTCCCAAATAGCTGGGACTACAAGCATGCGCCACCATACCTGGCTAATTTTTTCTATATATATATTAGTTGGCCAATTAATTTCTTTCTATTTTTATAGTAGAGACAGGGTCTTGCTCTTGCTCAGGCTGGTTTTGAACTCCTGATCTCAAGCAATCTGCCCGCCTCAGTCTCCCAGACTGCTAGGATTACAGGAGTGAGCCACCACCCCCGGCCCCCATTTATTTTCAATACAACCAGAGTAAATTTTAAAAGCTAAATCAGTTTGAGTCACTCCCTTCATTAAACAGTAGAATGGTTTTCTGTAACACTTTGAATAAAATTGTTGGAAGGCAGGTACTTTGTCTCCTAGAGGACATGGATTTTGTTTTATTCATTGCTATACCCTTAGGGCTTTGCACATGGTTGGTGTCCAATAAATAGCTGATGAGTGGAATGAGGGAATCTTACTCTGGCTATCTCTCCTACTTCTCATCTCATAGTCTTCCCCTTACACCACAAGTCCTGCCATTTAGCCTCCTTCCTGTTCCCTCAAAACTCCTTCCTATCAGGCCTTTGGAACTGTCCTTCACGAAATGACTTCACCCAACCGCTCAGCAAGGCTGGCTGCTTCTCTTTTTTCAGATCTCAATTTAAAGGCGCCTCCTCAAAGACACTTAACTGGTTTATAAAAATCCCCTTTCCCAACATAACCTACTCCACTCAATTCATTTATTTCATCTCATAATTACAAGTTTACCGTCTCCCACTAGATTTTTAAGTTCTAGGAGGACACAGACCACATGCTATGATATGAAAATGAATACCCAGTGTCTATCCCAGGATCAAATACATATTAAAGGCTCAATAAAAACAATTGTTGAATCCATGAGAAAGGAAAGGCCGTACCAAGTGCCTCTAGCATCTTACTGCTTTAAAAACAATCTTTATGTATTAGCCTAGACACATAAATTATAAAACTTTACCCCAAATTATTATTTTAACTTTGTTGCTTATATTTTCTAACACATGAGGGTCAAGGAAGGACTAGATTTCTTCCTGTATTATGTATAAATATGTGAGACTTGATATTTGTAGAGCTTCTTGTTATTTGAAAATCAGTTTTATTTATTTTTTGAATTTATTAATGAAAGAAATAATTTTTTTATTTCAAAATGTTAAGGGGGTACAAATGTTTTGTTACATGAATAGCTTTTGTAATGCTTGAGTCAGCATTACATTGTGTGCCCGTCACCCAAATAGTGTTCACTGTACCCATTAGTTGGGTTTTTGCCCCTTCCATCTTCCTGCCTCCCCCTACTTGATTTCCAATGACTTTTACTTCCCTCTGTGCACATGTGCCCATTTGTTAGTAGCAATTTATTATTGTTTTTATTTTAGCGTATTATGGGGGTACAAGTGTTAAGGTTACATATATTGCCCATGCCCCCCCTCTCCCCTAGAGTAAGAGCTTCAAGCGTGTCCATCCTCCAAATGTTGCGCATCTTACTCCTTATGGTTGTATATACCCATCCTCTCCTCCCCCCTCCCGACACCCAATAAATGTTACTCCTATATGTCCACTTAGGTGTTGATCTGTTAGTATCAATTTGCTGGTGAGTACATGTGGTTGAAAATCAGTTTTAAATTCATGGTTTTTCCTATTACTTTTTCAAATTCACCATATTTCTGATTGCTCACTGCCAGAATTAACACTGTGCCTTTCCACAAGTCTTAGTTATTCAGGATTCATTAACTGCGAAACTTAAAAAAAGAATCGGCATAGATTGAAATATCTGAAACAACAGAAGCAGCACAAGTTCTGACAGAGAAAAGATGGTTCAGACAAATTATTAAGTAAGGCACAGGTACTCTAAAACAGCAGGCGCTAGCTGAATGTATATACTTAAATTTAATTTAATTTATTTTTTTCTTGAGACAGTCGCAATCTGTCACCTGGGCTAGAGTGCCATGGTGTCAGCCTAGCTCACAGCAACCTCAATCTCTTGGGCTCAAGCAATCCTGTTGCCACAGCCTTCCAGGTAGCTGGGACTAACAGGCACGCACCACCATGCCATACCTGGCTAACATTTTTTGTTTTTAGTTATCTGACCAGCTCTTACACAGGCTGGTCGCGAACTCCTGAGCTCAAGCAATCCTCCTGCCTCAGCCTCCCAGAGTGCTAGGATTATAGGTGTGAGCCACCATGCCCAGCCTAATTTAATTTTTAATTAGTTATATTTAAAGAAATTTAAAAATCATTTCCTAGTCACAATAAATACATTTCAACTGCTCAGCAGCCACCTGTGGCTAGTGGTTATTACATTTGACAGAGCAGATATAGAACATTTCCAACATCACAGAAAGTTATACTGAACAGTGATGATGGATAGTATTCTACCTTTGTTGAGAAAGAAACAGAAATAATGAAAAAAATGTATAAATAACAAAAATTACTAGAAGCATATATATGATAAAAGTTAACAATTATCACTAGGTAATAATACCTTGGGTTTTAAGTTTTTGCTAATCTATTTCTAATTTTTTTAATCAAGTACAATGGATTTCTGGTGTAATAGAATCATGTTTTTAAAAAACAATGACATTCTCCTTCAAAAATAACAATGTCCTCACTGTAAATAAACATTTCGGATTTTTCACAAAAGGAGAAATTATGAAACAAACTACAAATGTATAAGTATTTTTTAAAATTACTATTTCGCTGCTTTGGGACTACACCAGTTTTTTAACCTCCTTCCTCACATTTCATTTAAAAAGGAATTATTCAGACTCCTACTAATACAGTTCAGGGATTTTTTCCCCCATCCAAATGTAAAGATTAAGTCTGGCCATAAATAGAAAAGCTATTATAGCTGTTAATTTTGTTAATTCAATGTAAGATGAATTCTTCCTTTATGCCTTCTTTAAATGAAGCATTACCTAGAAAAGTGAAACATCATCAATATTCACTAAAATCAGCTAAAGTTTAAGTTTCCTCTCTAAAAAACAAGTAACAGTATGTCTCTATATCAATCTTCTAGCTATGCCTCCATGGAAGCAAATGATTTTTATCACGTATCTTTTATAGCAAGGCAACAGTTTCCATGGAAATGACAAGGCAAACATCCATTACTGCTGCCAAGGACTTTATAAGCACACATAAACTGAGATAACCACTTACTTTCTCTTATTAATATTTTAAAATTAAACAATAGTTAGCTACTCAGATTCCGTTTTGTTGTGTTATCTCTATGAACAAATCTAAAGATGAGGAAGAAACCAAAAAAATTCTGTGCCCCTCTAGCAACAAATGAGCCTCTGGAAATCAGGGGGTGAGGGAAGAAAAGGCCCAGAAAGTTATCAAGCCGGCATACATACCAGAAGACAAAGTCAACCCACACAAGAGAGCAAATCAGAACAAAAATCAGTGACATACTTAAATACAAAACACAAAATTTCCTTTCACTAGCACAGCAGAGCACATAAATTTATCTAGGCCACCACGCTGATTAATAAGGAAGACAATAAATGGTAACAACTAATAAAGTGGTCACTCACCTCTCTCAACATGTTGTTCTCTTTTTCCTTCTGCTCCAAAAGGCTTTCTAGGTGGTGGACATGCATCTCTGCCTCTGCCAGCCGTCTTGTTCTCTCATGGTCTTCCTCAGTAGCCTTAGCAGAAAGTCCTTTGCTCTGCAACATCTCCAGAAGCTTCTTGATGGATTCATCCCGAGCATTTAAGGTCTGCTTCTGAGTCTCAATACGCAGCTCCATTTCCTCCAGGGTCTTTCGAAGAAGGAACAGCTCTTTGGCCTGCCGCTCATGCTCGGCATGTAGCCTCTGAAAGTTCTCCTCTGTCAGCTCTGCCACACAAGGTTCGCCAGGCCTACTGCTACTGTCTTGCTGAAACAGCTGATTCAGGTCCCTCTGGATCCGCAATTCATCCTGAAGAGCCTGGATCGTCATCTGCATGTGCTAGAGCCAAGACAAAAAAGAAAACCCCAAATCAACTTTCCTCTTCAAGTAGCAAAAACAGAGCAGATTGCGGTGAGTTGAAAATAGCTACAGGGGTGCTCAGAAATCTGCAACCAGCAAATTAGGATTCACCTTATTCTATTTCACAGTTTCCTAAAAAATGATTTAGATAACCTGCAAGATGTCAGTAATTTAACAAGAAAAGTATGGCAGCTCCTCACTTTGCATAAGACATGATAAAATAAAGACACTGGTCAAAATTAATAGAAGCCATTACATAAGAACTAAAGGTGAAGGAGGGGGGAAACAAGAAATCTACAGGGGAAATAAATATGAACACAGTCATTCAAAAAATCTCACCAAAAAATACAAAGGATATAAAAACACAAAATGACTTTTAAATATTATAAACATTAAATAATAAATACTAACATTTAATGAGTGGTTTATATATACCAGATTGTGCCCTGCACTTCTTATATGTGAATTCAGTTCATCTTCATTATGGCACGTGTACTATTTTTTATTTTGTGATAAAAACACTTAATATGAGGTTAAGTGTTAACCTCACTTAACATGAGGTTAAGTGTTTTTAAGTGTTTTAACAAATTATAAGTATACATCATTGTTGACTATAGGCACAATGTTGTACAGCAGATCTTTAGACCTTATTCATCTTGCTTAACTGAAAATTTATGCCCATAGATTAGTAACTCTCCATTCCTGCCCCTCTCCCCAGCCCATGGCAACCACCATTACACTCTGTGATTCTGTGAATTTGACTACTTTAGATACCCAGGCACATGGACTATTATTTCAATTGTATCCATGAGGGCACCAGGCTTAGAGAGGTTTAAGTAACTTGTCCAACATTACACAGAAATTGACAGAGCTGGCACTCAAACCAAAGCAATCCTCACATCCCACTAAAGTCAGTACTACCCAAAGATAATAATATAACAAAGTTTTCTAAAAACTGAGAATATGTGAGTTTTTCACAGAGGAAGATAACTATATGGGTAAATAATTAAATGAAGATGCTAATGTAGATAAACAACTAAATGGTTTGAGAGGGCATATCTTTAGCTTATATCCCTAATGAAGGTATATGAACCTTTAATCTGAATGGATAAGTAAATTCTGGTAAATTATACAATGAATTCCAACAGGCTGTTACATTAAGAATCTTATTTTTAGGAATGAAGAAGCAACAAGAAAAGATCATTCCTTGTATTCAAGGCTTGGCAGTGTGCCATAATGGGTAGAACACTAAACCACTATCAGAAGACATGAGTTTTAGTTCTGGCTCTTACACTGACTAGCTATGAAATTTGGACACATCACCATCTTTCTGGGTTTCAGAGTCCTCACATTTTAAATGAGGGCATAAATACCTGTATTATCCATTCAGAAAATAATTTTTTAAAAAGATGACTACCAATGATTTTGGGCCTTAAAAAGGAAAAAAATTCTGACACATGCTACAACAGGATGAACCTTAAGGATACAGTACTAAGGGAAATAAGCCAATCACAAAAAGATAAATACTATATGATTCTACTTATATGAAGGTATCTAGAGTAATCAAATTTATAAAGACAGAAAGTAGAACAGTGGTTGCCCAGGATTAGGAGGGGGAGAGAATGAGGAGTTACTGTCTAATGGGTATAGAGTTTCAATTTTGTGAGATGAAGGGTTCTAGAGATAGATGGTAATGATGATTTCACAAAATGTACTTAATGCCACTAAACTGTATACTCGAAAATGATTATAAATTTTACAGTATATGTATTTTAACACAATAAAAAAAATGGGTCGAGGCCTGACATAAGTGACTCATGCCTGTAATCCTAACACTTTGGGAGGCCAAGGTGGAAGGATCGCTTAAGCCCAGTTCAAGATCAGCCTGGACAACACAGTGAGACTCCAGCTCTACAAAAAATTTAAAAATTAGCCAGGCATGGTGGTGCATGCCTGTAGTCCCAGCTACTTGGGAGGCTGAGGCAGGAGGATCGCTTGAGCCCAGGAATTTCAGACTGCAGTGATCGTGCCACTGCACTCCAGTCTGGGCAACAGAGTGAGACCCTGTGTCAAAAATAAATAGATAAATAACACTTTATAAAAAAGAAAAATAATAATAATAAAAATAAAATAAATAAAATAAAAAATAAATAAATTGGGTGGAGGGAAGTTATCTGCCATAGAATTCGACTTATGGGTATTAAATAATTTATTTGTAACTACTGTAAATATTAGATCGGTTCTTATTTTCCATTAGTATGACAGGCACTTTCATACATACATCTATAAACATGAATCCAAATTCTTCTTGGGAATAAATGCTTAAAGATGGAATTGATGAACCATAAAGTATACACAATTATAATTTTGATACATATTATATACGTATAGTCTCACATACACTACAGCATACATGACTAAATCTAGCATGGCAATTACTATTCAGTGAAGAAATAAAATGCAACTACCAATGTGTTTATATCTTCAGCACAGCTCACACCAACTTTACTATGGTATAAAACTAAAGCAATCTTCTGATTGGAAGCCTAGAAATCTACACAGCAATTTTCTCCATTGAAATATAAATCAATATTCCCTCTTTAAACAACAACCAGGTTAGCTTTACTTTATAAAAATTCCTGCCAACTCCCGAAAAAGAAGAAAAGAAAGCAGGCCACAAGCCAGGCTACTCTTTCTCTAGCATATTCACACAGAAGATAAAATGTGCACATGTACACATCTCACAGACATTTATAATGATCAACCAGAAACAGACACATTGGGTTTAACAGAAGGAACTCAGTTGTAAGATATTACCAGAATATCTAATTGGGAATTCTGCTGTTGACACTGCAAAATGACTTCACACTCCAAATTTTATAGCAACACACACTACTCCACTTTTCACTCAAACACTCAGCTTGATCAGGAAAGGCTAAAAAAGTAGTTGCCTAAAATTTACTCTAAGGATTGTACTACTATTACACCAAACTATATCCCAATGAAATGGGAGGAGACTGTGAACAATAGTAATAAAAATTTATAAATATCTGACAGGGACTATGACTTTTACTAGAAAAATAATACATCTGAAAAAAACAACAAAAGACCACAACAAAAATTCATACATTTTAGATAAATACCAGTAACTCTTCTGAGGCAGAACTTCCAAAAAACAAACTATAATTAGTTTCTTAGAACAAGAGAACACTTTGATCCAGTTTATCCTGATTCCTAAAATAACAGAAATATGTAACCTAGAGATATTTTTAGTGAGAGAAAAAGAGTATTACAGATACATGCAAATGGTCACCGTTACAATGTATCACAGAGAAATTAAGGCACCATTTATCAAGATGATCAAAGCCAGAGAAAATACCAGTTGGTACCCTATTATAAATGTTAAATTAAGAACAATTGTTTTCTGAAATATGTAAATATATAAATTAAACTTTATTAATGCAAGATGCAAAAGAATTTAAAATAAATTCTTACTTAAGTCACCAAGCCAAGCTTTCATCTTCCTTTGGCTATTTGATCTCCTCATCTGTGCTGCTCAGCACTGTATGCATACCCCTAGAATAGCAATTACCAGACTGATCTGCAATTTATTTCTTTGTATTTGTCTTCAATAAACTTCCTAAGCCTTACGAATGTCATCTTTTTATCCTAGACACAGCACAGTACTTGGCTTGACATAAGTGCTCAATAAATTTCTGATAACTGACAAAAACAAATTTGAGAAATTAATTTCAAAGTAAGTGGCTACTGTATAGCAGATGCAATTCAAATATCTAGAAAGTTATATCTTTCTTAATAATACAGTGAATTACTCTTATTCTGTAAAAATTAGTTTTATACCAACCAATACAAATAATTCTATCTTAAATCCAAACAGGCCAAAATACAAAACACAATCCTAATAAAAATGCTAATTATATACTCTAGGCTTATTCAGTGTTTGACCTGAAAGAAAAAGAAGCATTTTCAGATAAATAACAGTCAAAATGAATCTTTCATCATTTTAGTACTACACAAAGTACACAATGAGTACATGACAGAGTTCTTATACAAAAATAAAGGTCACAGGTTGGTAAAACACAATAGTTATACACACACACTCACCAGCACTATACCCTATTGCAAATTTTCAATTAACAATATTCAAGAAAGAGAAAGGGACACATATGAAGCATTTATTTTACATGCAATATATTCAAATGAATTTAGAACCTATAAGACCACTGATTGGACTCATAAGTCTTTACGATATCTCTATGAAAAGAAAGTATTCTAATTTCTTTCATTTTAGAAGAGGAAACTAAGTAACTACTTTAATGAGTCTGAACCTCAGAAAGTGAGACAGAGCTTCTAAGGCAATTCATTTCTCCTGGTCGTTAGCCCAATGTTCTTTCAGTTGATGACAGGCATTTATTTTCTGTACAGCAGAGCACACTGCAAGCTCTCAAATATTAACCAAAACAAAGTTCTCAGACTGATCTAAATGCCAGCAAGAGACACACTAAAATGAAGAAAAAGCCATACCAGAACTCAAATGACTGGATTAAACTGTTTAGCATTCTTACCCTTTGCTTTGAGCTTACCGAGGAAAGTTATTCTTTAGAAAAGATGTCAGAGACAAGAAAATGAACAAGCAATCATACTAGTATTCTAACAACTACTCTCCACAACTGAGTCAGGAAAAATAAGAGCAACTATGTTTATGCTCTGAGAACCCTGCACATAAATGTATTGTAAGTGGCAAGATAACCCTGGGGAAACATCCAAATTTGGACACCAGGTTTATATCAGCAATAGACATAATGCTTCCCTATGTTAGTACATCCCAGAAAGCTAAAAAATAAATGAAAATGGTATTGAAATGGGGAAGTCCTAATGTCACAAATACATTTTATATACTGTTATGCACCATGTAACAATGTTTCAAACAATAGACTATATATACAACGGAGGTCCCA